AATATTTCAGTTGGTGTGCAATGAATCTGAAATATATGAAAGTTTCACTTTTATCATTACATTATGGAAAATAATGACCTCTATCACAATATGCTAATTTTTTGAGAAGGACCTGTATAGTAAATTTTGTATTTGCTGAGGTAGCTGTGGCAGCCATCTTGAATCAAAATGGCTCCAAACGTTAATCAGTTCTCGACATTTATCTGATGATTACTTTCTGTGAGTTTCAAACATCATATCCCACAGTGAGTTACTGTTTTCTTTAGGGACATCTACACTGTAAGTCATTTGACTTGACAGCAGCAGTGAGTGTGAGTGTTCTCCCATTCCTTTCCTATGGGGAAATATGCAGGGCCAGAATAACACTTCGCTGTATCCTGGGCAACAATCTTCAAGGGCCCCATCATAAAGCCCCCAGAAAAAACATAATCTGGTAAAATACAGAATAAATTACCATAATATACTGTAAATCTACTTTGAATTCTAACTATCAAGTGTATTTTTATGTATAAAAGTCCAAATGCTCATAGAACTATAAATGCTACAATGTTCTCTTGTTGACACGAATCATCAAGACTGAGTTAAGTTGAACGCACCATGAACACTACACGACACCATGTATACTTGTTTAGTAACATGTTGGCCACTGGTGTCAGAAGCATGTGGGGGGGGGGGGGGGAGAGAGAGACACATTGATGCGGGGGGGCACTCCCCCAGAAAATTTTGAATAAAGTAGATGCCATTTCCTGCATTCTGGTGTATTTTAATTGTTGTGTAACATCTAGTTTTACCTACACAAGTAAACACTTGATTCAGTAACTATTTTAGAGCTAATGGCACAACAAGAAGTAACCTGACCAACAGCTGATTCAATGAATTAAAAATATTATATATTCAAAGGTGACGAGTTGATGCCCACATTAAAATTAAATATCTGTAACTTAGTTGAATTCAAATGTAATAAGATTATCAATGAATGTTTGTGACAAAGGATTTACTGATTATAACAAAGATTCCGTCAAGAAACCTCCCAATATAAATCATAAAACCATAATGACTTCTCCTCATTCTAAATTTATCAAATGGTCTAAATCTCTTAAAGTGAAGGAGAATCATTTTAAAATAATCAATAAGATATATCCTGTAGTCATGTTTCTTGAAAGAAGATTTAAATTTGAGGTTGATTTGTGTCTTTTGTAAATCAGAAGATGAATCCCTCGAGCAATTTTTTTTTATGTCAATACAAAGTGTTTGGTCAGACATCAGAAACTGGATTAATCTCAAACTTAACATTCCTTCTTTTCATGCTGATGCCATTTTACTTTATGTGGATAACTGAAGCTCAGCTTTCTCTGATGCCATTAATATAGTCATACTTATAGCAAAGTACCACATTCACTGTAGTAAGAGGAGAGATAATAATCCTTCCTTCCTGTTTGATGAACGATTTTAAGTCAAAATATTCTTCATTAGATTAAAAAAACTGCAAAACTGCTAGAATCATCTCATAACAGATACAAACTTATTGTTTTAATTAAAACAATAAGTTTTTTCATATAGTCACGCTCTTTTTTTTTTTTTATTAAATTTTTTTATGTTTATTTTATTTTCTTCTTTCATTATTTTGTGAAATGTAGTTATGGCACCCTAAACGAGTTTGTATTTGTATCTTGTTGCATTGTTTTGTTTTGTGTTGTTAATAAAGTTCTAGTAAAAAAACTGATGGGCTGCAGGTAAGGAGTGTTTACCTTTGGGGCAAATTAAGGTTGTCGATTGGTCAGTTACTGACATGACTACTGGATCGGTCTACAGGTCGCGTGTAGGATCCGACTGTGCAAAAAACCCAAAACCACGAGCGCTGCAGCAGCCGCGCTGGGAGGAGGCGGGGCTGCACAAACGCAGCGGAAGCGCAGCGGTGTCTCTGTGCAGCGCAGAGCTCCAAGTAAAGCAGGAGATAACCAGATATTTTGCTTGTGCCCTCACTGCCCTGGGCCCCTTAGAGATCGTGGGCCCCTGGGCAGTTGAACAGATGGTTAATCCGGCCTTAGAAATATGGCGTCTTTATTAGCAAAATAACTCACCATGGTAACTCCGACTGCCCAAAAAAGTAATAGCTCCCTTCAGATCGAGCCGGTCGTTTTGATATAACTTTTGTGGGGGTGCACGTTGCGGTTCGTGCTGCATTAAGTGATACAAATGAAGACACACTTATGAGGTGCAGAATAATAGGTGCCTGCCATGCACTGCATGGAGGCAGTGCACTGCTCTCCTATGCATTGCAATAGCAGTAGGCAATAAAAGACTAGTAGTAAATGTCTTCTTTTTGGTCCAGACAGGAAGAATCAAGCAGTAAATACAGAGGATAAATTATTAGGACTTCTTCAACATTTGAAGGTGATATAAGAATGATTATTTTGATGCTTTTAAGTCAATTTATACTTATTTTATACTCATTTTATATGCAGCTTAACTGTGCAAATCAGGCCTTGTGCTGCAGAGGGTGATGTGCTTCAAAGGAATGTAAAGTCTCCGGGAGTGTTCTTACCGAAAGACTTGGCCCGTCTGGCGGTTACAACGACCCGGAGTTTTCTGTAAACATGTCTTTCATCCATCAGGCTCGTACGCAAAGGCTTTGGGTTTGAAAGACATGTTTTTAAGAGCCATCGCTCTGCTGCACAACTGCCTTGATAACGGTTAAACATGTTTTGCTCTGCCCGCACGTCACCCAGCCAGAGGGGGAGTATAAAAGTGTAACACTCGGAATAAGAGTTGAAGTCTGCTGTGGATCCTGATCCGATGCCCAGCCTGAATTGATGTTACCTTTTCACTCAGACTGAAATGGCTTCCCGGTCTGGTGTCACGGTGAGGGGCTTTTTACATCAATATCTGATTTGTACTGAATGTAATTTTACTTCACTGTATCTGTGGCAGTTTAATAAATGACACTTATTATCCTAGCAGAAACAGCAAGTGAGATTTTATTCATTGCTTCGACCTTTCCCCGAACCTGTATTTTGTTTAAGATAATTTCATAGAACAGAAGGTTACCTGTCGACCTTTCTCCTCCTTTAGAGACTGAATCTCTTTGCTGAGGACTTGAGTTTTGCTGTGGCTTTCTCTCAGTGTAGACTGCCTCTCCGTGTTATGTCCTGTGCTCTGCTCTGAAAAGATTCAAAGGAAAAGATTATTGCAACTTCCCCCTATCCAAAAAAGTTCAATCTGGTCCTCTGGACAATCAAAAAAAACAAAAAACAAAGCAAAAAAATATAGAAACGTTTCCTCTCTCATCCGAGAGACTTCCTCAGTCTGAGGTGCTGTATTCAGCTCAGTCTCTTAAATAGCACCTTCTCAGAGTGGATCAACCAGTTTGCTGCTGACAACCAAAACCAGCTGATCACATGCTCAAGAAGGACCATCAGCCTAACAATGGATCATTAGCACACTGATGGCTGTTTACTGTTCACAGGGGGCTGAGTGATACTAGCAATCACAGCATTGTAAGAGGGGGACAGTTGAACCTGGAGGCCTCCACCCCTGTTTAATGATGGACGATTTCTTTTCACAAAGATGGCCTCCTTTACTCCTCTCTCAAACCATCGTTCCTCTCTATCCAGGATGTGAACATCTTCATCCCTGAAAGAGTGACCGCTGGCCTGGAGATGAGTGTAGACCGCAGAGTCCTGGCCTGATGATGTTGATCTTCTGTGCTGGGCCATCCTTTTGGCCAGTGGCTGTTTTGTTTCCCCGATGTAAGACTGATCACCCTCCTGACACTGAACAGCATACACAATATTACTCTGTTTGTGCCGGGGGACTGGATCTTTGGGATGAACCAGTCTTTGCTGTAATATATTTTGGGGTTTAAAAGCCACTGGGACGTTATGTTTAGAAAATAAACGTCTCGGTTTCTCTGATACTCCCTCAACATATGGAATGACCACTGGTCTGGGTTCCTCCTTTTCACCTGATGGCTGACTGGAGTCCTGTTTGGGTTTCTTCTCTGCTTTCAGGAAGGCCCAGTTAGGATATCCACATTGCTCTAGAGCCTGTTTTGTGTGGGATTTCTCCTTCTGCCTGGCTCCTGAGCTAGTGGGGACGCTGTCTGCTCTGTGATACAGACTCCTGATGACTCCTAACTTGTGCTCCAAAGGGTGATGGGAGTCAAACTGCAAAACTTTTTTTGGATTTTTCTACCTGGATTATTGAGCATGCATCAGGAAACTTCCCCCTATGTTGTAAAAAACAAAAATCTACCCTCAAATGTCCACTGGTTCAGTACTCTGCTGCTCCCAGAGATAAAACAAACAAATAATCTGGATTACCACGGTCATGTGTTTAACAATGAATTAGCAAGAAAACAGCTGTTGATATTTGAAGTACCAGATGAAGACTTACCAAGAGCTTTCAGTATGTCACTGGGGATGTTGTTTCCTGCCAACTCCAGCTGAATGATGCTCTTGTTTTTCTGAAGCGCCTCTAGCAGGGCCCTCCCACCCAGCAGACCAACGTTGTTCCACCTCAGATCTGAAAATTATTAAACTACATCTTCAAGCTGTTATAAAATCATGTCTGAGATCAACAGGAAAAAATTATTTCTCACAAGGAAAAACGTTAAATGAGTGAAAGAAATTGCTTCAAAGAATGCATGTTACTTGCCATCTTTAATGCCAGTTTAATATGGATATGGGATGATGACTGGAAAAAACTTTAAAATAATATTATGCCCAGAAATTGAGTAATCTATTAGTGTATGTGTTTTGTGTATGACTCTCAGCTACTCCCACACAGAATTTTAGCTCAGTATCTGTAAAACTGGATGAGGCCTTTGGTATAGTACAAACTGGATTCCAAAAAAGTTGGGACACTAAACAAATTGTGAATAAAAACTGAATGCAATGATGTGGAGATGGCAACATCTAATATTTTATTCAGAATAGAACACAAATCACAGATCAAAAGTTTAAACTGAGAGAATGAATCATTTTAAGGGAAAAATCTGTTGTTTCCAAATTTCATGGCGTCAACAAATCCCAAAAAAGTTGGGACAAGTCCATTTTTACCACTGTGTGGCATCCCCCCTTCTTCTTACAACACTCAACAGATGTCTGGGGACAGAGGAGACCAGTTTGTCAAGTTTAGAAATAGGAATGCTCTCCCATTCATGTCTAATACAGGCCTCTAACTGTTCAATCATCTTGGGCCTTCTTTGTCGCACCTTCCTCTTTATGATGCACCAAATGTTCTCTATAGGTGAAAGATCTGGACTGCAGGCTGGCCATTTCAGTACCCGGATCCTTCTCCTACGTAGCCATGATGCTGTGATTGCTGCAGAATGTGGTCTGGCATTATCGTGTTGAAAAATGC